AACTAGAGGATAAAATTGCTGTTTTTGAAGTAAACTCACTCTAAAAAGAGAAACGCACACACACAAATTTCATCTCTCTCTCTCTCTCTCGAATTGGCAATATTTCAGAAAAGGGTTTAGCGATTTCTAATTATTGGGGGTACTAGCCCTCCTCAATGTCTACGGTGGTTATTATTGCCCCGATCAGACATGAAAATAGCCTATGTTGTGGCACTATACTGCATGTCAGTGATGATATGACGTTAGCAAACTTTAATGATTTTTTGCAAACATTTCTTTGAGTAACATGGCCGTAAATATGAACTCACGATTGAATGTAACAAAACAAAGGATTACTTTTCGTTAAAATCTTTATTAATGCCAAAAATGCTTGCATTTATGTCTTTTTGTTCGCTCGGGCAGCCATTTTGCCGCTGACGCCGGTTTACTCTGAGATAATTCATACCCCTTCGTTTGAAGTGTGGTATCGAAAAATCTTCGTTTGAAGGGCTATTTGGCCCTTCCCCTTACCCCTACCCCTCCAACCAAAAGAGAATCGAGACAAAAGGGGAAGGGCTAAGGGGTAGAATTGGGATTGGGCCTTTGTCTTTCAGATTATGTCACTGTGAAGTGCTTTAAGCTGGTGCAGGAGATACAGGTGCAGTCACTTTATTGCATTAGATATATGTCACTTTGTTCTAAAACCAATCCATCTTCATGAGCCTGAAAAAGCAGAGCAGGCCTCTGGACACAGACTGCAGAAGCGGTAAAAGTAGTGTGTTAGTATGTTACTCTGATCACTCTCTCAGGTCAAAGCTTCCGCTGGGTTCGTGGCTCGAGGCGCGCGGAGTCTGTGCGCGTGCTGCTCGTGTACCCTGCAGTAGACAGTGTGTTTCAGCGCTCTGTGATGCTCCTGGCTGACAGTCTGCAGAGTCGTGGTGGAGTATGCGTCGTCATCGACATGTGGGAGAGAGGAAGTCTAGCAGAACAAGGGCCGCTCCGCTGGCTCAACACACAGGCCGACCTCTCCGAGAGAGTGCTCCTCATCTCACCATCTCAACGCTCACACACCGGTAACAAAGTTTGTGTTTCATGCCAGCACCAGTGCATTTGGGTCACACTCAAGAATCTGTAGGGGCTTGTGCCAGAATTCTGCTTTTTTTTTTTTTTTAAAGGTGACATATCATGAAAATCTGACTTTTCCAGGTTTTAAGTGCTATAATCAGGTCCCCGGTGCATCTACCAACCAAGGAAACGTGAAAAAGATTAACCCAGTAACTTTGTTTTGGTGAGCCTTTTTCTGCAAGCGTCTGAGAAAACGAACGCGTCTGATTTCGCTCCCTTGGTGACGTGGCAAAGGGATCTCATTATAATATCACCGCCCCTTAATCTGTAAGTTTACAGCCAGGGACGCCGTCATTTTGATTTCGCAAGCGACAACGGTATACGAGCTCTAATGCCTTGGCGAAAGTTTGAGCAAAACATGCTAACTGTTCTGTGTTTGGATGTACAGTCACACAGATCTAAAATAAACATGCGATTTATTTCCCAGCTGTTTACCTTCACAGACATAACCCAATAATTGGTGTTTTTTTTTTTGCTAGTTTGTCATCCTATCTCTTTTAAACTCCTGTAAAAGTGTTTCTTTCTCTCTCAGAGAGGCTTTTTCCTTGTTAAACACACACACACACACACAAATATATATATATATATTTTTTTTTTTAATTATTATTATTTTTTTGAATAATTCTCTTTGCAGACAACCTTAAATCCAAACTAGTTCCTGGCATGCCAGATGACACAGTTTCAGCTTCTGCCAGCAATCTTTTTGCCCTGGCCCTCAACCTCGTTACCAGTGCTGCCCATGACCCACATGGCCGGGACAAGTTCTGGGTCATCAACCTGGAGCATGATGAGAAGAGCGTGCAGACCGAGCTCAGAGGCTGCAGGACGTTCGTTCTGCCGAGAGACTTGAAGAAGCTCCATCGGCAGCTGTTGAGTGGAGCGGTTCAGAGCCCAGCGCTGCCGGGGTGCTTCTACTGCAAAAACACCCTGGAGCAGCTGGAAGAAAATACAGACTTCCCGTCTTGTGCAAAGTCTGTCAGCCTGGCTCAATTCTACAAACAGGGCAAAAATCCTTATCTCTCGTCCTATTAAGTGACTTTGTGTTTATTTTTCATTGCGTTTATCCTAAAAGATATGGAGCCAGACCTGCTCCTGAGCTGTTCTCCTTCCTTCAGGCTTCAGTTCCAACTCTGCTTCAACACACCTGCCTGTTATTTTCATTCATTATGCAGATCAGCATCAGAATCATGAAATCTGCCCTTATCTGTATACTCTGAGCTGGTTTGTCTGGTTTGCAGTGACCTTGTTTAGTGTGATGAGTGGACTCTGACCACTTCAACATTCATATGATCTCCTGCACATGTAGTGATAGAAGGCATAACTGATCCAGCTCTTTGTGGTTTAATAAAGGAAAGCTTTTCATTTCTTCAGCTGTGCCTATGGGAGCATTCTTATGCTGGAATAGAGGATCCTAATGAAGGTCTGCTAACTTGTGTAAAACATCACATACACTGCACAGTGTAGGCTAAAGTTCAGGCTGCTAACCTCAACACCTCTGCTTTGAGCAAACACTGTTTGATTGTTTGTGTCACAAGTGAACAGCTGAACTCAACCCGGTTCTGGATCCCCTTGGGTTCTGGATTCATTTACACATCTGACTTGCATTTCTTCTGAAGCGACTTACTCCGGGTCAGTGTTGGAGATAGTAACTTTTGCATTACATTATTGTGTTACTCCCTAAAAAGTAACTAATTGTGTTACTTAAGTCACATTTTACAGAAAATGCATTATGTTATTTCTGCGTTACTTTGTATAATCTGGGATGGGCTAGCTTGTTAAGTTTTTAATATTAAAAGTTGTATTTTTGGCAAATGTAAAATTCATTTTTGCTTATTAGCATGGTTGAACTGGATCATCGAAGGTGGAATGAGCTGCCGACCTCCTGAACTGCTGAGAGCATCAAGCAGCAGCTGAAGACACAGCATTTCTTCAAGCATTTAACCACTCCAACTGCCTTAAAGCAATGCCCTATACACACACACAAATATCCTAATAATCTCTGAATCGCTCCGCTGCTCTAGCCTGGTTACTAATCTAGCCATCCAATAAAAATAAGGCATTGTATATTACGAATTTTGTTGGCTCTAAATTGCTTATGTTCCTCTACTGTAAGTTGCTTTAAGCGTCTGCTAAATGCATAAATGTAAACAGTGTCATGGTTTCTCAGCAGTTGCCACATAGAAATCCTTTTTGGGGGTTCATAATGTAATAGATTTCTCATAAAATAACTTGCTACATTATGCATAACTGATACTGTTTTACTTTAGATTACAATTAATATTTATAACATTTAACTTACAAGACTACACAGTTAAATAATGTAATAAATGTATGAGCCTAAGCATTATCACACTGTCACAATGTGACATTTTTTGAGAAAATTAGTAGATTACATATGACTTATTACACTATGTGCATTTATTACATTATGGGATGCTACTACACCAACGTTGCTCAGCCAGTCAGATTCCAGGACCAGAACTGCTGTATAAAACTTTAAAGATAAAGAACAACTTTTAATAAGTATCTTTTAAATACATATTACTTTTGTAAGAAACAATTTACATCAACTGTTACAGTGCATGTTTTTTTTTTTTCCATGGTTAGAGTGGAGAAAATTGAAAATGATACAAAAATGCTTAATAGTTATGAAAACAGCCAAGTTTTTTTCATAAACAGCTATTCAATTTATTATCATCCTAAACAAATTATTTGCAAGATGATTGTTCAACCTTTACATTGTTAATAGCATCATACTGCCAGATTGACATCCCCAAAAATAAAAACAAAGCAGATTAAATCCAGGTCACGAAGACATCACCAGACAAAGGCGGCCCACTCACGGAGCATTGCACACCGAAGCGCTGCCACTCTCGCTGGTGAATCCAGAGCTCCTGCGTGGTGTCCAAACACGCCAGCACGGCTCCACCCTTCCACGCTATCACACGAGGATCCATGTCCTGCGTGGGAATAGTCTCTTATTTATCACAATGCAGCAAGTCACACTACACTACAGTCAGTGAGAAGTTGAAGTCAGTGACTCCTTGGTAAGGTGGAGTCACATTCATACTTAAACTTACACTAGTAAAATTCACACTAGAGGCTGAGTAACTACTAGCTAGTAGGTAGGGCTGCACAATTAATCAAATTTCTAATCGCAATTACAATTATGGATGCCACACTGCAAAACATGCTTTTCTTACTTAGTTTTTTGGTCTTTTTTTCAGCCAAAATATCTACAAATTTAAGAATCAAGAATGATTTTCTAGACAAGTAAAAATTATTGTCTTGCTTTCAGAAAAAAACATGTCAAAATTAAGTGAGTTTTTGCCTGAAACAAGCAAAATAATCTGTCAATGGGGTAAACAAAATAGTCTTATTTCAATCAGAAAACAAGATTATTTTGCTTACCCCATTGGCAGATTATTTTGCTTGTTTCAGGCAAAAACTCACTTAATTTTGACATGTTTTTTCTGAAAACAAGACAGTAATTAATCATTCTTGATTTAAGAATTTTTAGATATTTTGGCTGGAAACAAGACAAAAAAATCTAAGAAAAGCATTTTTTGCATTGCACTATTACGTAATGTTCAAAGTCCACTTATGTTATTCTGCATGCTTAAGATATGTTTTTTTCTTTCTACATGTTATCTTAAGGGTTTTTCCATTGTTTTAGTTTTAGTATAACATTATAATACCATTCATATTTTAACTTTTTTATAATTTAAAGAAGAAACCAATCCGATGTATATTTGACATTTGAGACTTAATATGATAGAAAAGCACTAAAGGTTTTTCAGTTAGAGTGTTTTCAGCTTGTTTATTTTCATTTAAAAATACGGCATGCAGTTGCATCAAACAATGGTATAAACATTATTCAATGTAAATTGTGGTAATCATACTTAAAGGGGTCATATGATGCAATTTCAATTTGTCCTTTCTCTTTGGAGTGTTACAAGCTCTTGGAGCATAAAGCAGATCTGTAAAGTTGCAAAGACTAAAGTCTCAAATCCAAAGAGATATTCTTTATAAAAGTTAATTGTCAACCACGCCTACCTAAAACGGCTCGTTCTAACACGCCCCCACATGTCTACATCACGATGTGGGAAGATTTGCATAACGCCGCTCAAATGTTCACTCAAAGAAAGAATGCATAACTTTTATTCACGCTGTAGTATTGTTGCCGCCGCCATGTTGTGAAGGCGCTGTGTGTTTCGTTGTGAAAGCGAAACTACTTTGTTTGGTCTTCCAAAAGAGCACACGACTAGAAATCAGTGGTTAAGTTGTATTCAGAACAGTTTAACCCAAATATTCAGATGTCTGCAGCACATTTTATGGAGGACTGTTTACTGATCCTGAGAGAGTAGATTACAGTGCCGGCTGTTCTGACTCACAGACTGTAAGTACGTTATTTATATTTAAAGAATTTGCCACTGATGATTTAAACGCGAGTTTTGAGCAGTGTAGAGTAGCGCTTGTTGTTTGTCATTTCTCCGATCACAAATGCAGACATGGTTTTATGTTTACGCGGCGCGATGCAACGCAACGCGTAAAAAGACAGTATACAGTAAGTCATTATAATCCGTAATTATGTCCCCACTGGATGCAACAAATGCCTCGTTTATAATGGGTTTTCATGTTTTTGTCTCATCGCTCCGGCCGGACACGGCATCAACCGTATGTAAGGGACGTAACATTTCCATCTCACGCTTGAGGTATTCGGCCAATCACAATGCACCTCGCTTTTCAGAACGATGAGCTTTGTAAAAATTGACGCGTTTCAGAAAGGCGGGGCATAGAGAAGAAACAATAATGTACAATATGTGGAAAATAATGTTTTTTGAACCTTAAACCGCATAAACACATTTCATTACACCAAATACACAAAATAATGTTCTTTTTAGCAGTATCATATGACCCCTTTAATAATCGCAATTGCAATTTCAATGGAATAATCGAGAATGATGATTTTTGTCATAATCGTGCAGCCCTACTAGTAGGTCACAGTAGGTACAGTAAGATATGCAGTGCACTTCCTCAGATGATATGACGTCTACCTTTACTGATAAAATAAGAAACCATCAGATTTTTAATCAAACATTTTCAGTTCATCCTACACACGAACTGAAAAAGTTTCAGTTTCTTGCACAGACAATCGTTTTTGCCTTTTTTTGCTGCTACAGACTTGCATTTTATGAATCACCAAGGAGCACGGTTTCAGCTCAAAATCTTCAAAACTGTTCTACTAAAGAAATAAAAGGCACCTACCTTTCGGATGGCCTGAGAGCGAGTACAATAACAGCTAGGTTTCATTTTTGGGTGAACTATCTCTTTAAATATGCATGTATATTAATGGTTTTGGAACAAATATGATTAGCAAAGTTTTAATTACATGACATGAGTCTCTTCCTCACAGAGCACTCATGAAAGCACTTTAATCACTGGTTACAAAGACACTTTTCCTCCTTTATTCAAAGCAAAGTCATCAATAACTTGTTTGAAAATCTGCTGACACACACACACACACACACACACACACACACACAGGTTTCCCTACACACCTTTTGTCGTGTGATGACATTGACGTTCTCCACCAGACGACGGAAAGATGGAGGCATCTTATTGAGGACGCGATGCTGCAGAAACTCTTGCGCTCCGTCAAACAGCAGCCCGCCACCAACTACCAGAATGCAGCTGTACATCTTACGCTTTGTTTCATCCGAGGCTGTGGAAATAGACCCATAAACACATCCTGTTAGGCTTCAGCACCAAAATATACAAATATAATTATGTAAGGAATGTTTGTGGAGTGACTGTAATCTATCATCTTCTTCAAGACAATGTTTCCTTCCAGGACAAATTCACTTTAATCTTTCACTTTAATCTTGCTTACCCATCTGCTTCAACTTGTTCTCTTATCTTTTATGTCTGGACATTTATAGGAATTTATAATAAGTTAATTGGAAAAAAATTCTTGATTCTTCATTCATCTTACCGATATGCTCACTTTTACAAGAATTATTACACCACTCAGGTAATGGCCATAGTATGACCCAAGTTAGAGGTGGTTGAAATGTATTATAGCACATAATATTGTTTTAATAGCACGTCAATCTTTAAGCTTTAATTAGGGGGTGAGGATTGCCCTCAGGGTTTTTAAGAGATTTACCCACATGTTGATAAATATAAGTCAGTATTTACCGCAGGAGTCAATGCTGTGTAAGATGGCTTTATCCATGCCAAGTGCTTTTCCCTCAAACTGAGTCATGGCCGTCTTCCTGGACAACAGAGCTGACAATGTTTCTTCTGCATCCGCCCCACCGACGAGGCACTCGGATTGAGCATGGCCCAAATCCAGATCCCGAGTCAGATTTCCCTTCTCCGATGGGTCGCACATGTTGGGTTCCCCCTCAAACCCAGCAGGCTTAGGGAATAATTTGCGGTCTGTCGTGGCTTTAGAAGACTGTGTGTGAGAGAGAAACATGCTGAGATTACACACCTCGATTCCTCATCCTGTTCGGTTTGAACACACTAAAAGAAGAAAAACATAGTGTTTAAAGGAATAGTTCACACGGAAATTAAATTTGTTAAAAATGCGCTCATCCTCAGGCCACCCAAGATGTCAATGAGTTTGTCTCTTCAACAGATTTGTAGAAACATAGCATTGCATCAGTGTCTCAGCAATGGATGCTCAGCAGTGAATGGGTGCCGTCAGAATGAGAGTCCAAACAGCTGATAAAAACATCACAATAATCCACAGCACTCCAGTCCATCAGTGAACATCTGGAGAAGACAGAAGCTGCGTGTTTGCAAAAAACAAATCTATCATTTAAATGTTTATAACTTTAAACTTTCACTTCTAGATAAAATATGAGTCCATAATCCATAAAAAAAAGTCCATAAAGTCAACCTTGCATCGTGTGCTGCATTAGACTAACGGGGACTTGTCACAGCACTTACATATTGTTGCTCTGTTGGTTTGATTGTTTCTATTGTCCTCATTTGTAAGTTACTTCGGATAAAAGTGTCTGCTAAATGACTAAATGTATA